ATTTTTTCCTCTAGTGGGGGTTGGTCCATCCTGGCCCTCTTTAAGAGAAGGGACCTTAAACCCCCAGAATCCCCCAGCCAGCCATGTTGTGGGGGGAATTCTGGGAGTTGAAGTCCACTCATCTTAAAGTGGCCAAGTTTGGACAACACTGATCTAGAGAAAACTTTCTTTAAGGGCCCAACACATCACACAGACATTATTTCAACACCCAGGAATGATAAGTTAGTACAAATATCTTATCTAAGGTTGGTTTTGTGCTGCCATTTCATCGTGACATTTAAAGATCTGTATTAGCTGCAAAAAGGGTATAACAACAGGGCTGTTGGTCCATTGCATAATTCTTTCTCTTCTTTCTGTTCCTAGCCTGCTTTCTAGCCCTGTATTTATTTATAAATGTGCTCTACTACATCTTATCATACAGAGTAAAGGGAGCCACCCCCGAATATTTAGCATCCCTTTAAAAGACAGGATTAAATCCCCAAACCCTTAATTCCAAGCAAAGGAAATATGTAGGGGCACCAACACCTGATTAATCACAGAAGAGTTCCCAACATTAAATGAAATGGAGGGATTCTAACTAGGGGCAGATTTTTAAAAATGGTGTTATCTTTTTGCAAGCCATTTATTACTTTAATAATGCACCTCTCAGTGTTTATTAAAGAAGAGAGGTTTCCTGTAACTCCAGATGCAGTGCTTGGAATCTTTTTCAATGACGATCAGATAACCAACAGGAAATTTCCACTCACAGAAATAAATTCACTGAGGGGAGAGGAGGCACACCTATTTATAAAGATGTGAACTGAAACTGTTTCCACTATTCTAATGTTTAGGAAGCCAACGTTTCTATATTACAATTTCCAGTAAAGGAAGAGTTTGAGGTATTGTTTTTCTGCTTCCATTCAGAAACTCTTCGGAGCTATGATCCTGTAGTTTTCCGAAGGGTAAATTTAAAAACCCAACTGTCGTGAATTAAGGAGTTTCTCTACAAATGTGTTGAAATGTTAGAGGTAAGATGCTTCAATCGTTACCCAAAATGAGTGGAAAGAAACACAGAGTGCAGACTTGTGCTGGCCAGGAACTTGTGCAGAGACCAGATTACTCTTCCCTGACATGGTGCCTTGTAAAAAAGTTGGACTACCGCTCCCAGAATTACCAAAATATGACCTTTTTCCTTGATAGCTGGGAATCCTGGGAGCTGTAGGCCAACACACCTGCAAGGCAAGAGATTCAGGAAGATTTTAACATATTGCATATGGCATGAGTGGGGCTCTTATTTATTTATTTATTTATTTATTTATTATTTGTTTATTTATCATATTTATATAGCCGCCCATCTCACACAAGGTGACTCTCTTCCAGTCAAACAGGCTGTCAATCTGATTCCAGAACTAATGAGGAGATTTTGGAAGCCCACAGAGTTTGGGGACAGGCCAGAGTCCATCCAGAAGAGCTTCGTTGCTTTCTGAGTTCTTTACACGATGCCATGTTCTGACTTCTAATTCCGTGGTAGATTAATGTTGCCCTATTAAGCTTACTTACAGAGAGCAATTCCTACCAAACTGAGTGGCGCTGATGAATCTATTGAGAGTTGTTCCTATCTGGAATTAAATCCAGTTGAGTTCAGGAACTTATGAGGTTCCATTTACGTAGCGTTATGAGAAATCCTGATGGGCCATAATACGAAGCGTAAAGCTCCATCACGGCAACTCCCTTTCATTCATACTTGAATAATGACACTGAAAGGCCAAAGGTTTCCATTCACAAGTAACTGCAGCTCAAGAGAACGATCACAATCAGGGATGTGGCACCGAAAGTCAGATCCTCCTTCTTCGTCCACATTCCAGCGTTGTTTTTGAAGAGGGAAAATTATACAGGGAATTACATCAGACTTTGGCCCTTTCTTGGCACTCAGCCTCAACTAATTCAGTGGGACTGACTTCTGAGTCAGTATGAGGCTCAATCAGAGCAGAGCTCAATCTTTCTTTTTAATTGCAACTAAGGAGCTTCACGTCATTCAAGAAACAACTTGCAAACTGCAGTTATTTTTAACAGGTAGCATACCGTTTTAATAACCCAATTAAAATCATATAACTGCATCCCTGGAATCTCAGCGTTGGGTAAGTCTCTCTAAAGGGATCTGCTAAGCAACATCATTTCAAAATACTTTGAAATATTCCCTAATTTCTTTTCAATGCTTTTCAGGATTTCCAAGAAGGGGCTGCTGTGATAACTCTGCTGGGGCTTAAACTGGAACCTTTCTAAAAACAGCTGGAGCATTTTGTAAACTTGCTTCAGCAACTTACCAACAGTGCCTCTGCAGATCGTTCTCAGTAAATCTTGCAAAGCTAAGCACTATTATTCCAAAAGCTATATGTGTGCATGAGTCTTTGATGGAAAAAACAATAACTTTACTGATGACAAGCCAGACATGACAAAAATAACACTACACTTTTTCACCTGTGGTTACGACTATGGGCTTCCAATTTATATCGAAAAGCTCTTGGCATTTCCTTACAGGACTCAAGGATGTCAGCCAAATATAATCTGAATAGTCAGGAGTGTACAACTGACAGTAAAACCAGAAGTTTTGTCTGGCTTTGGATAGTTTATCTAACTCTGTGACCAAGTGCATTTAAAAATTTCCTTCCTCACCATGCAGTGCTGAAATTGTTACTGCTGTTCCTGGTTTCAATCAAGATGATCGAATGAAGAGTTGCTTTGAAATTAAAACCCCATTTGGGGGACACAGGGAAGTTTGCAACGACAATAAAGCATTTGTACATTCCTGCAAACTGTAGCTAATTCACATAAGAAATACAGCTATTTCTTGTGACACAGATTTGTTAATCTAGTTCTTTGCCCTGAACAAACCCCCAAAATATCCCCAAAAAGTTTTATTGGTGTTATTGTTATTTCAAAGGACTTGTTTTGTTCCATGGACTCTGCTGTGTCCATGGACATTATGCTATTTACTAATCAAAACTTGAGCAAAGCTAGCTTTACATAGTAGGGCACGAATTGCAAAGACAAAGGGTCTGCCAATAAACAAAAGACTTTTTTAGCTGCAGAACTGAGTTTCAAGCTTAATCTGTTACCCCCCCCCACCAAACAGACACCCAACTTTATCCAGCTACACATCTGAGTACTTACATTTTTCAGCTTTCTGCTACAGTCAAGACTCCTACAAAAGAAAGGAGGAAAAAAATATCAAAAAGCAGACATTCTTTCCAGGGTTTGTATAATGCAAGAGGTCACATGTTTCCCCTAACAAAAGTCTGCAGGATGTGTCTGCCGGTTAGAAATACATGAAAGCAGCTGAAGCGATGGAGGGCACTTATTTATTTATTTGATAGCATGGAAGTGCATTCTTAAGAGTTACTGCGATCCGCACAGCTAATATTTGAGTTACCAAATAATTAAAATTCTCCTCAGCAAAAATAAACCAAAGCAAAGCCCTCAGAAGCCTAGCATCTAAAAGACAGAATAAGCAAGACATTCTTCTAACTGGAATTAATGGCTAGGTTGGACATAAACTGATGGGGCTCAGCCATGATTCGATTGTTTTCCTGAGATACTAAGAATAATGAAAGTCCACATTGTGTGATGCCTCTTAAGCCACAGCAGCAAAGACTGGGTGGGTCTGTCCATGTACACAGACTTTCTTTCACTGTCTACAGGGAAAGCTCTGTCATGAAGCAGGATCGGAGTCAGAAGTGGTGGGAGACAAAGGACCTTCCTGGGCTGCACAGCTGCCTCTTACTGGGCACCCTGACTCCATCGTGCATGGGCCTTCCCGCCATTTCGCCATCAATTCTGCGTCAGCCTTGGTCGCAAGATCTTCCCAGACATCCTTTGCCCTCTGGAAGGAAGCCACTCTTCCTTCTCCACATCACCACCAGAACTTCCTCAAGGTCCCTGGCCAACCTTCCCATCTGACCATTGTGGAGCAATTCCACTTCTTGCTGTGCCATTCACGACAGCTGGAAAATGACTTTCCAAGTGCTCAGCCTTCCTCTTCCTCTTTGAGAAGTACCGAAAGGGAGGTTGGCCCGAAGACTGCCATTGCAAAATCCATAAACTATCAAGGTATGCGTGCCCCCTCCCTTGTCAATGTTCTGTAAACAAGCCAAAGCTGGATTGTTTCAGCCAGCCTTAACCCCTGCTGGTCTTCAGGGAGGGATTCTGTATTTTATGTTTGGGTTTTCATGATAATATATTTTTATTCTGTGCATTGTTGTATACCATCTAGAGTCTCCAGGACGTGTTATGAGCACAGTGAATAAATAAACACAATGTGTTCAAAGATTTTTTTTTAATTTATCGAATTTGTCACCATGCATCTCGTTGAAACGACTCTGGGCAAAACTAAAATTCATTCAAATACAGTATAAAACAGACCTAACAATAAATAACTTCCAAGCAAGATGAAAAGTTGGGGAATAATTCAAGGGAGCGTCGTCAGGGCGCTAACTGCCCGCAAGGACGGTTAGAGCCCATATCGCCCCATGCACGCTGGTGGAGTGTGTATTTATTTATTTTTATCTTTATCTTTATTTATTTAATATAATATTATTATATTTATTTATTTAATATAAATATGTTTATTTATATTTATATCTATTTATCTATTTTTTATTTTTATTTTTATTTATTTATATTTATCTTCATTTGCCTCTATCACATAAAACCATACTACAAAGTAAGAAACAGATGGGAAAAGTCTGTGCTGCAGAGAAGTCCCTGATGCAGGTCTTGATTTAACTATAAACCATAAGTATGTATTTATATTTATATTCTGCCTTTCATTCAGGAGATCAAGGTGCTATACACAACACCCCTTCCTCCCATTTTTCCCCACTGCAGCCACCCTGGGAGACAGGTTGGGCTGAAAGCCCAAGGTCAAAGGTTACCTGGGAGTTTCTGTGGCAGAGGGAGGATTCAAACCTGGGGCTCTTCAGTGCCAGTCAAGCACCTTAACCATTATACCACACTGTCTAAACTATCAACTTGACCTGGCAAGTCACAATCTCATTCTTCCTTCCTTATTTGCGATAAGAGAATGCTTCTGATTTGTTTTTCAAGACTGTGGTCCTGATAAAGGAAATATACAGTCATGTTAATTCTAATAATCATCACAATCATACAATGTGTTTATTCTCTGTAAATATAAGTAGAGACAGTTTGGTCTAGCGGTGAAGGCTCCAGGCTAGAAAGCAGGAGACGGGGAGTTCCAGTCCCACCTTAGTCATGAAAGCGGCTGGGTGCCCTTGGGCCCGTCCCTCTCTCTCAGCCCAACTCACCTCACAGGGTTGTTGTTGTGGGGAAAATAGGAGGAGGAAGGAGCATGAGGCATGTTCGCTGCCTTGAGTTATTAATAAAAATAATAAAGGTGGGATAAAAAATCTAAAAAAAATGTTATCAATGCTTGGGGTACGTCCATCTCCTTTTAAAAATCCATTCAGCTCTTCTTTTTGTTATTGTGTATCTCAACCACGGTTGTGTTTCACTTCAAGCACATCTGCTACCATCTACTCTGAGATGCACAGACATGAACCTAGGGCTTTGTGAATTTAGCATGCAATTGAATCTAGAATTACTGCAATATTTATTTATGTGTGTGTGTGTATTTTCTTTTTTTTTTGAGCCAAAAGTCAGGAATGTTAACACTGAACAGAAGACTACTGTTCTTTGACAGCTCATCATCCAGGAAACAGCTGGGTTACGATTTTGTGGGAAATCACAGCTAGTCAAGAAGAATCTGGGATTATGAAGGATTGTCAGTGTATCATTCTCTAGCAGCCAATTTACTTTGATTTTAGCTTACACTTGACTCGTCAGGAGCCCATGAGCTAAGTTTAGATAAATACAGAACATGATCTTCTAGATAACGTTTATATTAAGTGAAATCCAGAGGTTGAAATGATGGGTGGGTCGCATTTCTGAATGCTGTGTGAGCAGGACAGTTGCTGGGGAGATACAGAAACAAAGAAAGCATTAAGGCTCTTAGCCATTGATTTCATTGCATCACTTAAAATGCCAGAGGGGTTCCATACTATAGTTTCCAGAATAGATCCCAGGCAGAGTGTGAGTTCACTTAATGATCCCGAGACTCCTTAACTAATTAGTATCTGCATAACTAATAACTGGATGTTGTTCCAAAAAATGATTTCATGATGACTGATGCAGTTCTATTAGTAATAGAAGCATTCTTTAAGCATTTCTGTGATAGGTTAGAACTAGAAGCCCCAAAATGGTGCCCATGAACACCGAAGTATCTACAAACACTCCCTTGGTGCTCACCAGACCCCATGTTACACACTTCATGGAAAACAAAGACCACAGAAAGCTAAAGCTTGACAATGAACATCCAGGGGATTAGAGCAGGGTTCCTTAACCTTGGCGACTTGAAGATGTA